TGTTACCTGCTTTTCTAAAATACATTTTTGCTTTTGCTTTGATAAAAAATTTTGTTCAGTACTTCTACTATACAAATTTTCAGATTTTCTGTGAAATTAGTTCTGTAAAGCGCACTATATTTATCCATAAGAAAATATCAGCTTTTCGAAGGCGATGCCTGCTTATTCCCCGCTTATTATCTATGGAGATGCCCACTTATTATCTATGGAATACCAAATTTTGTAAAATACAATTTCATCCATCTTATGATTGTAGCAGAAGTAATATTGGTTAAAGGAATAGCCTCTAAATATCTCGAATAATGGTCAATAATTGTTAAAATGAAAAAAATTAACATTGTGTGATCTGAGTAATTTACCTACAGTGTCAATTGCTAACATTTCCCCAGGGGCTAAATCAGACTTTTTTATGTTACTTGTAACTGCTCTAGAAGATATCGGTTTATTCTCCAAACATTGCTGACAATTATCACAGAAGATTTTTGGGTTTAAAAACATGCCTTTCCAGAAATATTTCTTCTTTATGAATTCATAAGTTTTATTGGTAGCAAAATGAGCATGAGCAATCTCTAAACAAGGTTTTACTAAAGAATTTGGAAGTAGAATTTTATTTTCTAAATGCCTCGTCTTTAAATGATGTGCTCTAGTAATTTTATCATTATTACACCATTTTTCTGATCAATGAAATACTTGCTACAAATATCAGCATTATTATTGTTAATTTTGTTTATGATATCTTTAATGAGTTTGTCATTTTTTTGGCGGTTAAGTATATTTTGAATGCTTAATTGATTATTATTTGGTTGAAATAAGTTGATATTGTTTACATTATGAGATTCTTCAGGAGCTCTAGAAAGAAAATCAGCAGGATTAGAAAAAACAGGTATATGCTTTAGAGTGTAATCAGAATCTTGTAAATACAATAACCATCTGGCAACAACATCAGGCTTCTTATCCAATTGCATATGAAAGGGGAGGTCACTTAAACAACTTTTACATTGTTAATAATTCTACAAGTATTGCATGCAGGTTAACTAAAGTGGTAAAAACCTTAATCGGAAGACAGCATAATTCAATCATTTTTAAAGCAAAAAATGCACAATTAATCAACATTTAAGAACAAAACAAAACTGAGCTCTCGAAGCCGAGTAACAGAATGGGTATATATATATATATATTACTTTTATATATTTACTTTTGGTGCGGCAGATTGCTACCAAACAGGGAGGTGAACAAGTACATCCTATAGCAGTCCCTATATATATAAAATTTCAACGCACTTATTTTTGCACTTATTTTTTAGTTATGCAAGATACATACATACGTACAGACGCCACGAAAAAAATCTTTTCTGGATCTATTTTAAATTAGTTAAACATTTTTGGGGGAAAAGAGTCCTTTATTCTGTCCGTACGTACACTAGCGGTCAAAATGGATATTTTCTTTGAAATATGGTACCCGGAATTTTTCATCATTACGATACTTCCTTTACTTTGTACAAGAAAGTAAAAAGTAGAAAAGATTTACTATTAAGTCTCCTAAATATAGAAATGGGCCGTTTGGTGTTTAATAAGTTCGCCAGGGTCAACTGGGAATACATTATTCTAACCTAATTAATGGAAACAATGTAAGTAATGTTTCTATAGTGCTTAATAATTACTGAATAATGGAAGTGGTTTCTTGGAATACAGTGCCCTTTCTGATATTGCCTCGTAATACTCGGGTAATTAGATTTGTACTCGTAGGTATTTTTTATGTAATCCAATGTGCTGGAAAGCAAAGCGGTGTTTGCCTTTCGTGATATTCTTTTCACAAGGCCACTACCATTGTTTTCTACCATTGCCTTTCAGCTAGCAGGCCCAACAGCGGCCAGGCGGTAATGTCGCTAAACACTAGTAGTTCGGTCCAAGGTTCGAATCCCACGAACGGGTGGGCTACATGGGCATTTAAATATTTTCCCCCGTGCATAACATGTATAGGAGTCAGTTTCCCTTAGAAAGTCCAACACAAAGGTATCTTAAGTAGATAGCTCTCGAGTGCTTTGTCATAATCCTATAATCCAAACGAAATCTTCCACTTAGCTTGTGTTGTTGTAGTGTCCCTTCCTCATGGTAAGGTTTTTCCTTATGTGTAATGAAAACTACGATCCAATTTCCTTTAGGAAGTCTTCCACAAAGGCGACCTTCTTCTTAAGCAAATAGCTCTCCTGAGCTTTACCGTATTCAGATAACTTAACCCAAGTAAAATAAATATTAACTTCTAAACCAAAATTTAAATCTAATGGTAATGCCAATATTCTGTAAACACGCTGCAAAGTTTATTTTATTTAATATGATTCGAGTATACTAAAATATGCCTTTTTTCTGTCTCGTTTACTTCACCAGAATATATAAATGAAAGGAATTTTAAATAGAATTAAGAATTTATGTTTAAGAGACTGAGAACTGGCAGCTTCAGCCGACCGTAAAGGCATCGACTGTGTTCGATATGAGCTATATTAATAGCAGTTGGTAAGTTTATCTTTTGTTTTGAATATGAAAAAGTAGTTCAAGAAATTATCTTGTAAAGCCACTTAAAGTCTGTGTAAAAGAAGAAGAGAAGACGGTTTCCATAAGGGAATCGAGTTCTTTTCTTATTTATCTGTTTAAAAATAACGAGTATGCTTCGAGTAAGAAGGCCGAATCTATGGACCGAATTTGTTTGCAACTGAATACTTACTACTATGATTATAGATTATCAAATCACCAGATTTCTACACATTTTTAGTCAAAATTCAATCATTGCCATGCAGCTGAGAAGCCGATGAATCCAAATAAGGGCAGACGGAGCTACATGCAGCCTCATCATGATCTCAAAGCGCGAATACTTGAGAGGATGGTAATCCTCTCTGAATGGCTGTATGGCACTTCGCGCAGGATATACAATGTGTGACATTGGAAAAAATGTATGCACATACGATGGGATGTCATTCTCGAAGTCTTGGACTATTTTCAGGGTGGTCATTGTTCTGCTCACCTTTAATGCTACAGATTGGGTGTTTGAAGCACACAACAACAATGGTGGTTTGAACGACAAACCAAGAATGTCGTGACATCGTTTTTTTCGACGAATACAGTTTTTCTGCATGCAATTTTATGACGGACACACGGCATTTTGCGCTACATTGAAGAAGGCTTGTTGGAATCTTGTCTGAGGTACTGGCATACCGGCCAAGTACTGGAAGTACGGCATGGATTTAATCCATACTAATCCATCCAATTGAAATCCATACCGTAACTTTCAGTGCCTGGGCGGTATGACTATCTCTCTCGCATCTGGTTAGCATATCTGCCATACTGTGCGGTCAGCATTATATTAAAGGCATGCTAAAGTCTGTGGTTTCCCTGTATCTTCAGAAGGACCCTACAGTTATACTCCAAAAGAACATTGAACAACAGGATATTGCATCCAATGCACTGCATTTCCTCGATACACCGTAAGTTATGTCTAGGCCAAAGCATTCACTAGATCTTTACCCAATAAAATACATCTGGTTTGATGTGTCATATAAACTACGCTACCAAACTCCAACGTTACAATAGATGAACTTTAGCAAAATTTGAAGTTGTTGTTTGGATTGAAATATTCTAAAATCCAAAATCATTTCGATTCTGCGATTCGCCGTAAAGTAGTATAGTTATTATTGCTTATGGTTTCCACATTCGATAATAATTGTAACAAATTTCGTTATCCTATGTATCTTAAATTTTCACACCTTCATTTTTGTATCATAAGGAATCCGTAAAATATTATTTAGGTGTGCCCTCGTTTGGTATTGCTTTTAATGGACAGCAGTGCATTTTGATATATTTCGACCTTTTTAAGATTATGAAAGGAATCCAGAAATAAACTCTCGAATCATTTATATGTGTTCTGAATTGAGTTATAATTTTATTTAATCGAAAAGGTCTGTTTTCATTAGAATACAATTATCTGTATCATTATTAATATCCCGTCGAGAAAAAAAGTACTGAAATATATATTTATTATTAAAACCTGCACAGAGTTATCGCCCTCATTTTTCCGAGTGGCGTGCCATTGCTGATATACCACTGTTGCCATCGTTGTTGATATTAGCACTGTTGCTGTTGCTGATATAATGAGAGAGAATTATCGATTTAATGCGATTTCATCAAAAAACATAAAACTTATTCGAATTTTGAAAAACTCGCTTCGAGTTGCACCGGCTCTAGTCCAGATGAACCTATGTACCAAATTTCGTAGCCCTGGGCCTATTATCTTATGCACAATACGAACAAAAGACACACACACACACACACACACAGACTCTTCCTTTTATTTATATATATAGTATATACATAATTTTTCCGTTAACTTATATTTCGGCAAGGCTCATTTCCTATTTGGAATGTTTATTCTTCCTCCTAATTTTACATTGCAATAAGTATTTCCTATTGCAAAAACGTCGATTTAAGTAGATTAGTTAAGATAAGATATGTATATCTTTAGAACTTCTCTACTTTTATTAAAAATGCAAAGGGTTTGATCAGCGTTTCACTCTGTGTGAATCAATTGTATATCAGCTTCTAAATATAAGTCGGAATCTTGTTGCAATATTTTTCTTTCAATATTGGCAAAGAATATATTGACCGCTTTTACAATTATCATCCATTTTCGATGATTCCGACTATAGTTGCATATAAAGTGGTACCTCGATATGCGGAGTGTTTGGAGATACGAGCCGCCGAGTGAGCGATATTTTGCTTTGAGATGAGAGCAAGATTTGAGATACGAGGAATCGCACACACCGCTGCACACGACCGCAACATGCGCGCGCATGTTGGTGTCGTGTGCAGTGTCTAACAATTTCTCCCAACTCAAGACTAGACCTCAGTGTGTGTGCTTGTTTTTCTCGTTTTCGATGCATTTTTGATAAGTTGGGTTCATGTTTTTTGCTTTTTGTACATTTACAAAACATTATTACATTTATTTTTATAGCTATGGGTCCAAAGAAGAAGAAGATGTGCATTGAACTAAAGCGTGAAATCATAGAAAAACATGAGCAAGGTGTGCCAGTAATTGACTTGGCGAGGATGTACGGGCGTAGCATACCAATGATATGTACTGTACTTAAACAGAAGGAGTTGATAAAGGGTATAACGCCAGCTAAGGGCATTACAATAATTTCTAAGCTTCGGAGCTCTCTCCATGAAAAGGTGGAGAAACTACTGATGACAGAGAAGCAGCTTCAAGGAGGAACCTTAACACAAAGCATCATATGTGAGAAGGCACGAGTGATTTACGATGATTTGCTGAAGCAGATCCGACACACTTCCACAAACGAGGAATCGAAAGACTCGTTTAAAGCCAATCGGAACTGGTTTGACAACTTTAGGAAAAGGACCGGCGTTCACTCCGTCGTCAGGCATGGTGAGGTAGCAAGTTCGGATGTGAAGGCAGCTGAGGTTTACATCAAAACGTTTTCCGAACTGATAGAAGCCAAAGGATACATCCCCCAGCAAGTCTTCAACTGGGACGAGACAGAGCTTTTCTGGAAAAGGATGCCGAATAGGACTTACATAACGGCAGAGGAGAAGACGATGCCAGGTCACAAACCCATGAAGGATATATTAACTCTAGCACTTTGCGCCAATGCGAGTGGCGACTGCAAAATCAAGCCTCTGCTAGTATACAGTTCGGAAAATCCCAGTGCCTTTAAGTCACATAAGATTTTAAAAGAAAAACTGCCAGTTATGTGGGGGAAAAATCCGAAAGTGTGGGTCATCAAGAAATTCTTTGTGGAGTGGATAAAGCTGGTGTTTGGCACTTCTGTTAAAAAATATTTACAGGAAAACAACCTACCCATGCAAGCCCTTCTCGTCCTCGACAATGCCCCTGCTCACGCACCAAATCTCGAAGATGATTTACTCGAAGAGTTCAAGTTTATTAAAAATGTTCTCTACCTACCGCCCAACACCACTCCTATCCTGCAGCCCATGAATCAGCAGGTGATTTCTAATTTTAAGAAGTTGTACACCAAGCACATTTTTCAGCGCTGCTGATTTGAGGTGACGGAGAACACAAATCTTACCCTTCGTGATTTCTGGAAGGACCACTTTAACATCATGTGATATGCCTAAGAATTATTGATCAGGCCTGGCTGGGTGTTACAACGAGGACCTTAACCTCTGCATGATAGAAGCTGTGGCCTGAGGCTGTAGCTGAAAGGGCCTTCGAAGGATTGGAACCTGAAGTGTCAGTGGTAGAGGAAATTGTTTCTCTGGGAAAATCCATGGGTTTGGAGGTGGATGAAAGAGATGTGAACGAACTCGTCGAGGAACAGTCTCAGGAGCTGAAAACCGAGGAGTTACACGATCTACATTCGCAGCAGCATACGGTAGTTAAACGAAAAATTAGTTTTGAAGAGGAGCCAGAGAGTGAGCAGGTTATTCCTACAAGAGATATAAAGGAGATCTTAAGAATGTGGGAGAAAGTTGTAGAGTTCGTGGATAAAAATCACCCCGTAAAAGTTGCAACTGGTCGTGCATCGGAGTTGTTCAACGAAACTTTCCTAACTCATTTCCGCAATATCCTGAAAGGGAGGAAGAAACAAACCTCCTTGGACAGTTTGGGGGATATTGACAGACAATGTTTTTGATCATATGATTATATAAATGAAAATTCATTAGCAGAACTACCATTTGTATTTGGGAATTATTTGTTTAGAAAATTATATCAAAATTTCCAGATATGAAGTGAACATGGCAAAAGACTAAAATTTAATTTAAAATTATAAATTGTTAGAAATTTAATGACTTAACATTTTACAGATGGTAAAAGTATTCGAATATCCAAAAAATCTAAGCATTATACCTTCAGTGTTATAAAACAACAGAAATTTCATAGAGTTATTGAAAATGTTCTAAAGTCAGAATCACATTTTAAGTTAACACCGAGAAATCGGAACTTTGTCATACGAAAAATCGGACAGGGCACAAAAATTAGAGCTGTAAAACCCACGGTAGCTATAGAACAACGGTTTTCAATAACGGCTAACTCTGAAACTTTTGAAAGAGTCATTGGAGCACATGGATAGAACAGGCGATCAGGATGAAGAAAAGAAATAAAATGGGCCAAAATTCATGATAAGGAAAGATTTATCATATTGGAACAAAGCTATGTTTACAAAAGAGCCTAAGTTTAATATGCTTGTCTTCGAAGGACAAATTATTGCATGGAGGAAGTCGAATGAAGAATTGAAAGCCCTATTGCTTACCGTTAAAAAATAGCCTTTTCTTTACTCTTTATTATCAGGTAAAGGAAGATATCCTGTTAACTACGGTAAATGGATCTTTTATCTGCCAGTACCAAGATCTTATATCTGCCAGTTATATCTACCAAGAGTTTCTCTGAAACGTTTCATAGCAAGTTCTTGGGTTTCTCTTTTAATGCGCTTTTCGCAACTATTTTTAATACCCAAAACATCTAAACCGTAAATATCTTTACGTTATTTACGTCAGGTGACAACATCAGCATTGAACTGTTTCCAGAAGTATCCTTAGCTTCAGATTTCCCCTTTACTGACCACCTCAAGAATGTGTGAACAGCAGCTAAACGTCCTGAAAGATGTGTTATATTTCCTGTTAAGAATTGTCTTGCATAATAAGCTCTGTGAGCAAATGAATTTCATCCGAATTATTTTCATACAAACAGTAGTTATCATTTGTATTCGTATCGCTTATTAAAATACCAAAATCCTTTAAATGGTTCAAGCAATGAGAATAATTTAACTTAGGAACAGAAGCACAAATTTTAATTTCATCTAAAACCTCTAATTCGCAATTAAAGCTTCCACCTACCCTGGCTAAGCGCGATATTTTTTGTGCTTTTCCGTATGCATATTTCATCTTAATAAACCATAGTTCACAGATATTTCTCCTCATCCCTTGAATATCAACTTTCTAGCAACAAATATGGGTACATAGCTTGTTTGGCTAATCATGTCTACAATTACCCTTATACGATATTTTAAACGGTTTTCCTTAACGTGCACTATCAAAGTTTGAAGATAAGCTTCGCTTGAAGAGTTATTGATCGAATGAACACTATTCTGAGTGATTTTGTTTACCTCATTCATTACAGCATTATCGCGATAGTTTAGTTAACACATCATTTCTAAATGTCTCTTACGCAAATGCTGTTCTTTACTATCGATAGATAGTGAGAAGACACACAACCAACTTTCAAGCATTAGAAACAGATTCCGTTTTTAATTAACATGGATTTTCTTGTTTTCAGTTGGCAAACTTTTTCCATATAAACAATCTTTGCTCAAATGCGTTTCTTTTCTAAAGAACGTACAAAGTTTAGATTTCAAGCCCAAACTGCTTACCAACTCAGCTGTCTCGGGATTCGGTTTTCCTTTCTACTTTTCTAATAGAACGCCAGTCAGCTTGGTTTTAAATGCATTTGCGAATGTATTGGCGAGTTATGAAAGTTCAAATCTGTTTTTAGCTATCAATTGTTTGTACTAAATCTAAAGAAATCGTTAATATAATACTGGTCTCCAAATTCTTTATTAAATTCGAATATTAAATCACTTGGTGGTTCACTTTTAAGGTTACAGGGGACAATAATGGTAGTGTTTTAAAATTACAAGAGAAAATAATGTGCTAAAGGCTTTTTGATGATACACTTAACGACTCTAAGCTTCTGACAGCTTCTAAACTTCATATTAATTTGAATCTTATCAAACAATTTCCGAAAAATCACTATGTCATTGGAACGTGTAAGTATGGGTATTTCTAGTCATTGGTTTACGAGGGTATTTATCAAAATGGTTTTCTTCTGAATTTTTGTTCAAACAAAGAGGAACAAATTTTTTATAATTTTCGCTTGAAATACAAAATCTTTCTATAGTTTCCAGAGCAGTTCCGGCTAAATGGTCTTTTAAATAATTTAATTCGCTAACATCGTTAAGTGATTTGTAATTATGTATCGATGTTTCGAATGAGTTTCAAAACGTTAGCTAATCACTTATATTTCCATAAAATTTTAGAAAAACTGAGTGTTGAAAAAATTATTCTTTTGAGCTTCGGGAGCTGCACTCTGGTGCTTTGCCGTGAAGCTGTCTTCACCGTTATAGCCTGATAGCCTGAAGGCTGGAGTCTCGAGAGTACGTTGAGTTTCGAGAGCGACCGACAAGAGTCGGGAGCTGTACTCTGGTGCTTTACCGTGAAGCTCTCTTAACCATTATAGCCTGATAGCCTGACGCCTGGAGCCTCGGGAGTACATAGAGTTCCGAGAACTACCGAACCAAGTGGGGAGCTGTAATTTCGTGATTTGCCGTGAAGCTATCTTCAGCGTTATAACCTGAGAGCCTTCAGCCTAATAGCCTGAAGGCTGTGTTGCTGATTGTTTCAGCGTGCTTACAGTAGTTCTTCGACGACTGTAAACGTGATTTTGGATTTGTCCTGAGTAAACTGGCTAAATAAATTGTATCTGATTCTTCATCAAGTGTTGTCGTCAAATTACTCCAAATCCACGAATCCGTACAAAAAAGCAACCCTATTGTTATGAATTTTGTACTTAAATAATTTTTGTGGAATTATAAATAAAATTGATGTTTCTTTTGTATAATGTAATACGAAAAATATATCTAAAGAGACGAGCTAGCCATAAAAGTAAGAATACAAGGGAAAGTGCATTTAATGTTGAGTAAATGGGTATCTCGGTAATTTGGCGAGAAATTGCCAAAAGTCGCCAAACATGCCGATACTTTGGTCCGGTCCCTGTATTACCACTATATATATTGGAAATGAATAAATGTAAATGATCACTATATTAGCTGTAACCGCAATTTGACCCTTATGTTTCCTTTCAGGAATTTCAAGCAGCAGAAAGCACCAGAAAGATCTCGGCGGCCGGGTGAAAGCTCTATAAGGCCGGAGAAAGCATCTGCTCTCAGTTGTTGTTAGCTCGGCGTGAGTTCGAACTACTGAGATATGTCCGTGTAGCTTTCTCTTTAGCTGCGCTTTGCTTAGCTTAACGGTCATAGTAGTTTGAAATGTAATTACTGATTGTACTCTGTGATACTGTGAAGAGTTGTACGACTATCTTGGTGGAAAGTTTGAGATCTCTGAAGTGTTTCATCTGATAAAATAAATCTTATCAACCTATCATCAGAGCTGAGTGCATTCTATCTATTACAGACCCGTATGCACGCAACAATATAAATGGTGCAAAAATTTGCATCAGAAATATTTGATTGAATAGCCGTTCTATTTTATAAATTCTGGACACTTAAACACGAAAAAATTTAGGTCTTTTAAGAAAATTTATGGATTTAATTTTCTTAAATTTGAATATGGAAGTTGCATTAAGAATGCTTTCAATGTTGCCAATGGCTAGCATATAAAAAAAGTATAGTAAATTTAAAATAATAAAAAATTTTGATGATCTTCGTTTGGGCCAATTTTCGAGCATAATTATTTTGTGTCTTCAGGCCATTAATCAAGTAATCATGTAGATTTTGGAAAACATTATTACTGCTTTTGCTTCTTAAAAACAGAAAAAAAGGGAGGAGGGGTTGACGTTTATTATTTTATTTTATATTGATTATGTTATTACTTATACCATTTCAATATCGTTCCCTAAAAATGTATTTTTTAACAAAAAGGCTTTTTTATTTTAAAATTCATAAATGATTTATTTGAATGTATGAATCTGCGATTAAAAATTACTATAACAGCTCTTATTTGCCCACCAGCGGCCGAGCGGTAAAGTCGCTGAACACTAGTAGTCGTTGGTTTCGTCTCCTAGTGAATGGGCTGACTGCATGGGCATTTTCATCGTTTTCTCCGCGTATGACATGTATACGAGCCAGTTGCCCTTAGAAAGTCTTCCACGAAAGCGTCCCTCCCTTTAGGCCGACAGCCCTTGCGTGCTTTGCCATATTTCAATAAAACGAAACAAAACAACAGATATTATTTAAAATATTTATCATTTTACAATATAAAATATAGACATATACAATGAATCCCCTCTACTATGATTATCCATGGTTCCGGATAATTGCGGTCATTTCAAGCGGTGATTACATTAGAAAGGTTATGTTTAATACCGATGTTTATTTACGTTCTCAGAACTACTAGTTACTTTCGCAGGACTCGTCTGAGGGAGGCATTTATTATACTATATAATCTGACTGGTTATAAGGGTGCCCAATTTAATTCTTTGCTTCAGTTGAGGAAATATCTATGCACGGCTCTGACAAAAGGCATTACAAAGAAAATATATGTTTAAGAGGTCAATCATTTTCTTTTGATTATTCTTCCTGCTGTAAATCAAATCCAAATGGCTGGTATTGCCACAGATATACTTTTGTCCAATCATTGATCTAAAATACTGAAAATTTTCAAACTAATTTACTTAAGGAAACTGCTAAGGTTATTTTCTAAAATGCTAAAATTCTGTTCTGCTAAAATTTACATTTCCATGTTGAAATACCTTGCAGCTTATCGAATTAACTAATTTTTCGACTAATTTTTCGTCATATCTACATTCTATTATATAAAATTTATAATACCACATTCAAGGTTTCTTTTACAACCGCTGACATTTGTTTTCTGACATTTGTATGTTTGAAATGTATTTGTTAGATCTTGTACTAAATATTGAAAAGCAGTCTCCAACTTTTTTCTAACATATTACTTTTCTCGATTTTAAGGCTAGATTACTACAAAATAGATATCATCACAATATTCCTTGTAATAAAATAATTTATTCAAAACCTGTTGATCGGTAACCACATAATAAAGTTCTTTTATAAATTTAACTATTCAACCTATAAAAGATTACCAAAGTATTCAAAACACACTCTTCCCACGGCACCCCCCCCCCCACAAAAAAGAAAACCTTGCAGTCTGTTAACAATCACTGATGAATTTAATGATGGGAACTGCATTGAGCCATTCGAAATGCACTGAAGTCTGCACTAAGAGAAAAGAATCGGAGATTTATACTATGAAAAATTAAACAAAATGCAGCGAAAGCATTGTAAAATTTGATTCTTGCTTAGAATGGTTTGCAATAAAATTTAACTGCGAAACTGTTAAAGTCATTAGAGCACATGGCTGTAATGGACAGTCTGCAAAATGAAATTCTTTATTAACAAGAAAACAAGAAAAACTCGCATCGCGTTTGCAAAAATTTATCATATTGAAACAACTGAAACGATATTTGCAGAGGAGTTGAAATTATTGTATAACTGTCCTGAAGTTATCCAAATTCCTTCACATTTTTAGGATTTAAATCCTATCGAACATGTATGTAATGAGTTGGAGAAAAGAAAAAGGAAACATGATATTTCTTCTAATGAAAGCAATAATTACGATGAAATAGGAAATATTCTTACCAAAAAAAGAACTGTCGAATCCACCCGAAAGCGCATGAAAATTGTAATTTTAGTTAAAAGACAGTGAAGGAATTATTAAATGTCTCATTATTTTTCTCTTTTTTATCAAATCTAAATTATTTGTTTAAAATATTGTTTGTTAAAATTTGTTCCGAAACTTTATGCGAATTTCAGAACATTTTAATTATTTTTTTAACCGAATACATTTTGAGCAACCTTTTTCAAAACAATTAGGTTTCAAAAAAGATAATCAGTAGTGCACATGAAAGTAAAATAAAGGCGTTTCTCCAATATTTAATAGTTCATATGTATAAATAAATTTTAGAATCACAAAATGTGAGTTACTGTGTATTATAGTCTATCAATTTTATAGTACGACATTTAAGGATTCTTTTAAAATATACTAGTAAATTCCATGATCAATGATCAGAATTTAATGCAACGGAAACAAGAGCTAAATTAAGTTTATTTTTATATACGATTCTTGGAAGTATGTAATAGGCTGGTTTGTAAATAAGCAAACTTTTGGAAACAAATTCTTCTAACAATTCTTAAAAATCCTATACTGCGCCTTTTGCTTAATCCTCTAATATCGAAGCATTAAAACGACAAAGCTGAGCAATTTGAATTGCGCAGGTGTGTGAGTGTGACGTTACGATGCGCACGAATCCTTTCTTTCCAATCCTTTCATGCCATGGTAGGTGGTTATAATATTTTTCTCGTTTAATGCAGCAAGCGGCCTTTTAATTCACTCAGTGGTAGTCATGAGTAATCGGTTTTTCAAGGTGGTATATCTCTCAGTTTCTTCATTAATAAAAATTAGACGATATAAAATACTTTTTATTTTTTTTATTTTGTTTGTTATGAAGGACTCTCTATTTAAAGTTTTATTCATTCCTCATGTAAATCTACTAGAAAATCTTCCACAGATTACACCATTACCGCAAAGGGAACTGCTGCAGTTACATATGGTGAGTAGTTACTTATATTTGTAATTATTAAAACACATATCGCTTAGTAATGAACAATTGTTTTGTATTTAATTAGAAATTTACCATAATGAAGAGCTATACATTTGAAAGAAAATGTACTATTCTTGTAGAGAAAAATTAGTTTTAGATATATATACTACCGATTCAAGCAAATGCAATGCCTTTGCCCAGAAGGGCTATTAGGCTCGAAACGGCATTTTGCATCGGTTCACTGTAAATATCGGTTTTTCTTTTCAAATTGTTGCCACTAAATTGCCACAAATTGTTGCCTTGTATTGTATTTAAAGAAATTAAATAATGAAGAATCGGCGTGAAGGTACCTTGTTTCTCGCAATTTGGAAAAACAATGGTACCTACAGCCATCAAATTTTGAATAACTTAGTATTCCGCCCGAGTATGACCACCTGGAAGCCCGAATTCGGAATTTGAAATTTGTTTTATTGTTTGTTTCATATTTTCTAAAACTTTAACGAACTTTTGATTAAAAAGCTCAACGATTTCAAAGCGAGTAATAGCAAAACTCTACGGAATAAAATGTTTTTACCTCCAGTGCACGAGACTGTTTTATCGGAAAATCTAAAGATACGCTGTTTTTAAATATATTAAGAATCGTTAGCTCAAATGCTCTCGAAATATGTAAATGTGTGCACAAATTAAAAAAAGAACACCCTGGGTTTAATATAAAAAGAGCACTCTTGGGTTTAATATAAAATCTGTGAAAGGTTTCAATTTTTTTTTATATATTTATTTAGGTTTATTACATTATGAAAATTTTGATAAAATATTATCACATTCTCTTTAGAATTGTTAGCATGCAGCTATCAAAACAGCTGTCATTACGACATGCATGAAATATAAATAACTTATGCTGTAATATTTATCTTTAAAAATTGCTGTTTTTAAGAATTAAAATGCTACATTAATTCATATTACAGAGCTTCCATCATATCAGAAGTTTCAGAAATACTCAAAGATCATTTTTTTAAATTTGTAAGTATTTCTTTGTGTAGTTTATTTATTTAAATTAATCAATTGTCGCAATGCTGGCAAAGACGATCATGTCTTAAAGGTAAAAATTCTTTCGTTGAAGGTTATTTTAACTATTTTAACACGGAAAAGAATTTATTCCTATAAAAATCGTTCGATCAGTAACTTTAAAATATTTACTTTAGAAGGGTTAAAAGAACACATTCCAGAGGGGATAGAATATGTCATAGCGGTTCCAATGTCAATAAGAGTGTGTGGTTTTGCTTACGGCCAACGGCGCCAAAATCTAAGATCAAAGCTTAGGAGAAGAAGAGCTGTGAGGTTGAAAGGGTGGGAAGTTCTTCCCACTCTTCCAAACCTCAAAGTGAGTGAAGAAAGTTTTATTTCTAAAGCATCTAGCTGATGTTTATGTTACAATTGGAAAAAATCATGAAAGCCTCTGTGGAACCAACCTGATCACTTAGTTGGCTTTTCGCTTAGTAATTATTAGTATTCCCACAGGTAATTTAGGGCTGTAGAATACACATTCATACTGCTTAACAATATTTTAGAAACTATGAATATGCACACATTTCAAATTAATAATGTAGAACAAGTGGAAAGCTTAAAAAATTACAGAATTTTTAAAAGCAGCATAGCAGCATATGTTTAATATTCCCGATGCAACGTTAATTGTTGGTATACATTTTCCTGTTTTTCAGCCCAAAGGGCGTTAGCCCAGAAGGGCTATTAATTTCGTTTTGGCATTTTGCATCGAAAACTTTAAAAGGCTGTGTCATTTTTCAAATTGTTGCCACCAAATATTATCACTCTGTGTTATATTTAAAGAAATTAAGTAATGAAGATTCTGCACGGATGTATGTATGTTTCTAAAATTGTGATAAAACAACGGTACCTAGAGTCATCAAAATTTGAATAACGAAATTTTCCATAGAATATGGGCATGTGGAAGCCCTAATTTGGCTTTTATTATCGAAATTTGCTTTATTATCGATTTCATATTTTGTAGCACTCCAACGAATTTTTGAATAACAAACTAAACGATTCAAAGCGAGCAATGGGAAGAGTGTACCAAAGAAAAACATTTTTATCTCAAGCGCACGAGGCTCTGTATCAAAAATTCTAAAGATATGCTCATTTTAAAATTATTTTGCAATATTGCTGTTAAATTGAATTTTATGGTTTAAATGCGAATGCCATGATGTTTAATAAATAAAGGTAATGCAAGAAATGTTAAAAAAAAACGCCCCGAACCCCTTTGGGCGTAATGTAAAATCTGACAGCTTTCAGATTTTTTTTTTTTTTTTCAATCTTCCTCAGTTCATCATGTGAATGTTCAGTTTTTACTAAGATGCCTCTACAAAACTTCCTTTTTCCTTTTGATCATAAACATTTTCTGTGTTTAATTTATTTATTATATATCACATTTTTTATGCTTATGCCACATAAAATTCGATTCAAAAGCAAAATCACAAAATATTAAAAAACTGCCTATCTTTAGAATTTTCGATAGCTTGTTTCGCACGCTGGAGATAAAAATGTTTTTTTTAGTACAGTGTTGCCACTGCTCGTTTTGAAATCGTTGATTTTGTTAATCAAAAACTCGTTAAAGTTTTACAAAATATGACATATAAGAATTTCGAAAATCAAAATTCGGGCTGTCAGAAGCACATTTCGGTTGTAGGTGCACATTATTCAAATTGGGTGGCTCTAATTACCGTTGTTTTTCCACAGTGCGAGAAACAAGCATATATTCTTGCAGCTATTTATAATTTAATTTCCTTAAATATAACATAGGGCGATAATATTTGGTGGCAACTATTTGAAAGGTGATACGCCGTTTATAGTGATTCAGGGCAAAATGAAGTTTCGAGACTAATATCCCATTACTAACGTCCCTTTTGGGATAAAAAAAAATTATTTAGGCTTAAATAAAACTTAGTATATGGTAATCCTGAGATCACAGAGCAACAGCAAAAAGTTTTCCAGCGCCAGTCGCTGGTGTTTCGCGCGTTTGATTGATTGCTTTGCTTAATCTTTAAAACACTCCAACCGTGTAAAGGGTATTTGCAAGAGTCACTTCGACCAAAACCAAACATTGAAATAAAATGTGTTTGGATCTCTTAGATTACTTACTTCGAATGAAGATGTCATTGGTAGAAAACTAATTTGCTGTGTTTACTTTGGGTCCTCCCTGATGACGAGTCTCATGTAATCATCAAGATTATTTGCACCCATGCATTTGCATACACAAAGCTCAAATATTTTTAAAATGTAAGGAATGAAGATAACAGACCAAAAAATTGAACAGGATGATGAAGTGCTATTCAATTCAATTTTCTTTTAAATAATTGTAAAATAAAAAGTGTTTATTTCTATACGATTTTTTCTCTTCTAAGCAATTTTTTCTCTTCTTTTCTCTTCTAAGCTTCTAAGCAAAGTAAATGAATCAAGGGTGTTATAATAATATGCTCTGTAATATATTTTATTTTAGTTCTAGTACTTATTGATTTATTTTAAAATGAAGGAAAATATTATCAGAATTAATTGCATGGATCAAACAAAATAGAATACGTCGATGTGAAAATAGATCCCTTCGAGACAACCACTTCTCAAAATGGTCTGTATTTATAAGAATATAGATTAAAATTATCTCTATAAAAGGTTATCTCAAGAGAAAATCTAAATTATCTGGAATCATGAGTCTTAGAAAGTATTCAGCGTGTGTTTCCAAAATACATTTTATTTCAAATATTAGATTGATTTTATCATGAACTTATATAGAACTGATACATATTGTCTAAGAAAACAGAGTTAAACTTGCTGAGACATGAATATCTGTTCATAACTGAAATAACTGCCTTATTGTATCTATGAAGTTTAAAGCCAATTCTTTACACCTATTAAAATTCTATAAAAAAATTCAAAATTAAAAGCAAACGACAGCTTTTACTTCTTTATTTAACATATAAGTTAGTGATTTTACTCTTTTCCATGCCAAAAAAATTTAATTAGGTAGTGGTGTAGAGCCATTAGGGCTTTTTGCGGGGAACAATGAAACTGAAGAATGTGCAATGCCCTCGCTGGGACTCGAACCTGGACCACTCGGATACTACCGAGTATGCTAACCGTTATACCACGAAGGCGTGCAGAAAGCAGAGAGAGAAAATAATTACATATATGTAATATTTTGGCAGGCAGGCATTGAAAATGATGAAGCTTAGCAATCTGGTCACTTCTGGAGTGCGAGTGTGGTCGTGTCGAAAGTTGAAAACATCAGAATTGAAGACACAGAAGAATTTAACTTTTTAGCTCCATCTCTTTATTCGGTGCAAATGGCAAATCATTCAGGATTACATATGCGATAGTAAGTTGAACTGAATAGTATTAACTTTAAATTCATTGTGACATACTATTCAAACAAAGGGAGGCAGATGAGAAGAATGACAGCACAGGTCTTAACAGCAGTAGAGGGAGAAAGCGATCTTTTGAGGCAAAACTGGCACGAATTCTTCATTTATGGGAGCGGTTATGTAACATGCCCGAATTTTCTCGAAAGTACTGGTCTAAAGGTAAGATCCTGAACTTGCGGAAAGTTAATTAGAGGTTGCCTGTTCGCGTAGAGCAAAGCCATCGTATTTTTTATATTTTAGATCTCCCCGACCCCTCAAATCGAGAGGCCGGGCGAGCAAAGCATTAGTACATTAGTGAAGCAAGAAAACTTTTAGAGTATGAGGAAAGATATGAACAAAAACATCCAAGACATAGCTTACATACTTTAACTATGCCCTATCATAACTCATAATCTTTCTCATATAATTAGAAAATGCTTAATTACATACTTTTTACAATCGAACCTATGATTTATAAATAAGCACATATTTTATAAGTATCCAACTTAGAATTATAAGATAATAATATGTGTAATAATACTAAATAATAAATTAGAATAATGAAAGTCCTCAATTTTTTTCAAAATAGCCACTGAAAAGTAAACTCTGTTTTCAAGTCCTTTCACAATGAAATGTTTATGAAAATCTCTTGATGTCACGAAGTCCATAAAATAAAAATGAGTCAGCAAATACCATGCAGCTTTCTCACTGGAGACGTTCTATAATAAATTTTTGAATAGTAGATTTTTGAAATTTTTGGGGGGGACATCTTTTATATAAAACTTTAAAAAATATACAATTTATTCGTAATGTATTAATTGTATTCATTCTTCTCATCGTAGGTAATTAACAATACGTTGACATATTTTAAAGGAATATAAAAATTCAATACAAAACAGTATGATACCTTAAGAAAACAATTCAATATAAATCTCTAATAATATGTTAAAGAAAAAAGAAGTAGTCAATGAGTTGTATAGCAAGTACGCTAGTACTAAAAGAATAAATTAGCTCTAAGTGCTGCTAAATTTTAATTGAAGTTTAAAAGTATTGTTAGATCCAACTCATCAGCAAGAAGACCCGAATTTTACCAAGTAAATTAATACATGAACTACATTAAAGCAGTAATCTAAGATACTAAGACATTGATTTGAATGAAGAAATTTAATAATCTAAGATACTAAGATATTGATTAGAACTAAAAAATTAAAAAAGGAAAATAATTGTGCAAAAAATTAATATCCTTTGTTTGGAGCTTTATAACAGAGCTTGTCAATGGAGGAAGTGTTCTGAAGCTCTATACTTCGTCGATTAATAACAGAGCCAAGACAAATTTCGTCCTGACATTCACTGAGATTCGTAAAAGCAATACTTACGTATATTTTGAAGAAAAAAAACTTTTATCTGTGTTTTTGTATACATGTAAAATATTTCTTTTTTCATTGTGTTAGAAAGCTATAAATATGTTAGAACACACTTCTTTTATATCGCTGAGTGTTGTGGTAAAATTTGAAACATAAATATGCTTTGCAAAAGAGGCAATAGAAAGCTTTATCTATGACTGATGACACACATCCTTACCGCATTATATTAATGATTCTTTTTCATTGTTCCAAAATAAACGGACTTAACCACCCACCCTTTTCAGACATTGCCCGATTTACTTGCAACCCAGTTAATCCGCCACCGGTTAGTCGATTGTTGATTTTATTTCAATCCCTCTCCCTGGAAAGTAAAAACAGTGCATTTATATCGATGTAAAGTAACAAATAAGAGAGGAATACAGGATTCTTGGCACAAAAATAACATAGTCTGTAAAAATATGGCACTGTGTTATATTCTTCTTCTATTAATCATTTCGTTTCATTGTTATATATTATTTTACTGATTTTACCCTTCGCTTCCGTCGTCCGATGAATACTGATGACTGGAAAATATACGATATCAGCCCAAAACATACTACAAAGATGAATGCTCTTTCCATTTCACTTTCAAACAGAACTTCATTTACAGTTAAATATAAAAATATGTTCTAACATCAGTTTTTATTTCAGATATTCAAGCATGGACACAGAGCTCCTTTTAGACTTTACCCAAACGATCCGAATCCTCCTGAACTATGGGAAGAAGGACTTGGAATGTTGACAAAGGTTAGCACATTTCTATTCTCAGTTTTATTATCAAATGTAACTGAAAAGATTTATTTTGAAAGTTTTAAAATAGAAAGTAAATTAAACTCACAAATAAATCTTCATTTATATTAGGCAAAATTAAGCGCCAGACTTAAATTATTTCTTTGAGGGTGTCATACATTGAATTTTTGTGAGAATTAATAGCTAGATTCCATGACATTGGGCAGTTTGAATATTTAAAAAAAAATTAAATTAAATTAAATTAAAAAAAAATCTGAAATGTTTCAGATTTTAAATTACGTCCAAAGGGGCGTTTTTTAACATTTTGTGTGTTACCTTTCTTTATTAAATATCATGTTCCTCGCACTTAAACCATAAGATCCAGTGCAACAGCAATATCGCAAAATAGTTTTAAAACGAGCATATCTTTAGAATTTCCGATACAGAGACTCACGCGCTGGAGATAAAAATGTTTTTTCTGCACAACGTTGCCATTGCTCGCTTTGAAATCCTTGAGTTTGTTAATCAAAAATTCGTTCGTCAAAGTTTTAAAAAATAGGAAATCGATCATAAAACAAATTTCAAATTTCAAATTTGGTCTTCCACATGCTCATATTCGTTGGAGGATTACGTTATTCAAAATTCGATGACTCTACGTACCGTTTGTTTTATTTATGAAATACGAGAAATATACATACATTTACGCAGATTTTCATTATTTAATTTCTTCAAATATAATGCAGGACTCTAACATTTTATGGCAACAGTTTGAAAAGTGAACCGACATTTATCCTTCCGACGCAAAATGCCAAAACGAAACTAATAGTCCTTCGGGATTCAAATCCCTTTGGACTAAAAAAAAAAAAAAAAAACATGTGACACACTTGGATTTCGTGATCGCCTGAATGTGTTGTTGTACTCAGAGAAATTTACTTTATGCCCTAGAACAAAATATCTATTATTTTCTGTCATTAATGTATTTATCCGTTAATGAAGAGAGCGTTTTCGACTGTACGCTATATTACATTCGATAAGGACTTGTGCTACTGTTCAAAAGAACTTATTGTAAAAATTAGTTGACCATCGTGTCTTTGTTTATATCAGATGGTGGTGTGAGATCAACATTTTGCCATAAGATAGACTTCCCATCCCAGTATCAGAGCAGTAGTGAATCATTATGTAAAGCGCAATGTGTAAGACCATGGACAAGTGTATAAAGTAGTGGAATGGAGGGTAATGCGCATTGGACAAAAAAGAATTGCATGTTCTTTTTATAAAGAGGGACAGTCAGAAGCATTGCTCATAAGTGAATAATGGCTTTATTTGGTGAGTAATTTCCTCCGCAAACCGCTGTATTTAAATGGATTCTGCTCGAAGCTCTGTATTTAAATGGGTTAACTTCAGTATAAGAACTGTATTTAATGTTATGGTGCCTTTTCAGAAGACAGCACACAAAAATTTAAATTAAAGTAATATAAAATCAAGATTATTTACGTAGAAAATCACTCGATTCCATTGTGTGTTTCAGTGCATTTACAAGTAACGAGTGAAAAGAACGTACCAAATCTTTCGTACAAAAATCCCAATTAAAATTAAACAAATTAGAGCAGTTATTATATAAAATACACGTTGTGTATCATAAATTTAGAATATTAACAAAGTAATTTTTAATAAGCTGTAATTTAAATAATTAAGTGAATTTGCTACACAAAATTTCCTCCCGAGATCACGGAAAAGTTTTTGGCTTGCAAAAAGTTTCAGACGCACAGACAATGGAACAAGGTTTACAGAGTGTTCAAGTAAAAGAAGGTGTAAGTAAGGCGTTAGTACATCCACATGTCAATCGCAGAAAAGGATACAAGTTCTTTTCCATAATAAAAACCCTACCATATATATGGTGAGCAAAAAAAAATATCCAAAGTAAGAAAATATGTAAGAGGGTCAGGAAGTCTCCCAGGAGTACAACTAAATACAAATCAAAACAAGAAAAAAAAGTGTTGGCAAGCAACACGTGACGCCCCCCCCAAAAAAGTGTAAACAAATTGTAATCAACACGATACCCCCCCCACAAAGCGAACTGAAAGCAAAATGTATGTAAATAAACAAATCAAACACCACTAAATATATGGTTGTTAAAGTAAGCAAAACAATTCAAGAGCTAAACGAAGCTTGACACAAAACAAAACCCAAACAGGCCAACTAATTACCTGTAAACTCAATCACAATCTAAATGACACTACGAAAAGTAAGTTGTAAGGAAAAGCCTACTGTATGAGAATCTTAAATTTTTCCCTATCAGCACAACCTAACTTCATTTCCCTAAACACTGGCACACAAAACAAAATAGGAGAAGAGTGCATATTAACAACACTGCAACTGTACAGCGCAAACTAAACTACTATTTAATCCCTGGGATAGAAGAAAAATGAAAACGAGTTGCACAATTTATGAAAAAGGAAAATCACCATGAAGTGTTGGCAACTAACAATTAATTAGAAATTTCAATAACGTACCCGAGTAAAGTATAATATTACCAAGGAAATAGAAATCATTAATTTCGCATGTAATTTTTTTTTATTTTTCTATAACAATATTAAGACTTGGTTACATTAACTAGAGAATTTAATCATATCTTTCCGGACCAGTTCATCAGAAGTCTGATTCATAATAAAATAGCAAAAATGACGAAGAACATTCCAAAAGGCGAGTTGGAGGCCAAAGCCATGCTCTTGTAAATACATCTCCCGGTGACCAAAATCAATTTCCATTTAAAGAACTGTTTATCGCACGAATTTATATACTATGTTGGAAATAAATCAAGGAAGTACTGTCGAATTATTCTAAAGGCATCACTTTGTGTCACTTGAAAAACTTTTTTTATCACTTCTAACACTGTTATTAAGAAAGGTTAGAAATGCCTCAAAACACGTGCATTGCATACCTCTCATAATAACTTCTTCTTCCTCTCTATTCAAAAAGCTATTATTCTTCTGGATTCTTCCTACGTTACCAAATAAATCTTAAATTCGATTTTCAGAAGTTTTTTCGTCATTCAAAATTTCGGACTGCATAGAAAAGACACGCGTAACTGCAATCAAAAAGAAGTGATTGAATTCTGCTTTCCGAGCACTTTCTCTTGTTTTTCTCCTTTCATTCCGAAAGACTGTTAATACCAGAAATTTTCCTCTAATGAAAAACCGATGCCGACGAAATCAAAATATGAAGCTTGTTATCACAGTTAGCTTATTAAATAACGTAGTAAAATAATTTTGTTGAATTTCTATCTTTATATGTTATTTTATTACGTTAAGTAAACGAACAGAGCTTCAATGTATTGTGCTACATATATTTGAACAAAAGACCATTTGTGTAATATTTTGATGTAGCGTATATATCTTTAAAGCAAATTTTTGTTTTCCACAGCTCGGCAGACTGCAGACGTATGTAATGGGTGATCATTTGAGACGAAGGTACACAGATTTTATTTCAAGTAATCCGAATGAGGTATTTCATAAGATATATATTTTTATAAATGTAGGCCATTAACACCTTTATTAACCATGCCCCTCCCCAACCTTTCCTTTCAGTTTTTTAATTTAGGTTAAGGATTTTTTATTGCATAATTGGTCTATTATGCACTATATTCCGCATATCATGTCCAAAGACATTTTGTAAAGCTAGCTACTGGAAGAATCAAGTAGGAGATCTAATATAAACGCATGATATCTTTAGAACGGATTGCATATTGAAATTCTCGCGGCATATACGTCCACAAAGTTTCCGAACAACTTTAATAGCTTGATGTTTGTGAATAGAACAACTTAGACCTTTGATCCTGGTCACACGTTCATAGACAAGTTTCCGAGCTTTTGTGACAGGTGACGGAAGTTACATAACTTCCACATACGACAAATGACATCGCGTTCACGCTCCTTCGGCTGTAGGCAAACGTAATTAATCAAGGTATTGAGGCAAACTCCGGTTTTATTGTTTGTTCATGAACAAAAATGGTCCTAAAGTCTTTCAATGTAGCAATCTACACCAAGCATTCACTTTCGAGCTATTCTGCTTCAATTGCTTGTGACACGAAGATTTTCGGATCCTCACATTATGTGTAGATTAAACCATTAAACCAATACAAATTGTTAAATCAAACAAATTGTTGTTAAAAATGTATACATGTAACATTGCCATAAATATCTGAAGCACTACCTTTTACAGATTGCTCACAATAATAGGAAAAAGTGTTTCAAAAACTTTAAGGAAACCCTATATAACTGATAATATTTGCGATGATGATGAATAAACTTTGCTTTACATGAATGTGAAACTGAATTGTTTTATTTGGTGTAATGGTATCGTGACCTATGAAACAAACTGAAAAATCAAATGCGTACGGAACGATATTCTATTATGATAAAAATAAGTGATGTCTGATAATAAAAGTTTGGGAAAAAATAACTTGGAAACAAAAGCAGACTGTTGATTACGATAAGAACTTAAATCTTTCTTACTACGCATATACATATTATATCGTGATTCCATCCATTAACAGAATATGGGCTTTTCTATCATTGGTCCAACTTAATTCATTCTTTCAATAAGATGTTTGCTTAAAGTTTAATTATTTAATAAACTGCTTCTCCACTAATGGAGAGAATTTTGCCATTCCAATCGTGCGCGATTAATTAATAACAGAACTCGTATCAAGAGGTTTCGTTGGACAGCTTTTTCTTCGTTGCGTTGGGTGTTAATCTGTCACCAATGTCTGGATAATTAAAACGGCAAAGTACTTTTATCTGACTTCACCTTGAGTGAACAGACCGGCTGCATGATTGTTTCTCGTGGTTTTCCCCATGAATACTTTAAGGTACATCAATATAAGGACATGAATATATAGCAGGAGCATAAATATGCAACATGAATATAAGGAAGTTTCCCTTATAAAGTCGTCCGCGATGGTATCCTTTACAATCGGCATATACCCTGCTATATTCCAATAATCCAACCTGCCTTGGGTTTCAAGAAATCGATTAATCACATTTGATGGATACAATAGAGCTTGAAATCGTAAACGAGCAACCATATGAACCTCTAAAATGTCTTCCATAGAATTCGATTATAGTCGAACGTAAATTCTCTGATGATAGGCGCAAGGTATATAACCACTAATTATTAACTCCGTCGCATCTATGCTAAGTAACATTCATGCTTAACTACAACATAACAGCCGTTTATATGCCTCTCAAACCACCGATAAAAAAAAAAAAAAAAAAAAAAAAAGGGGGGGACGTATATTTTACATGTAAATCTTAAGGTTGCTATATTATTGTATTATTGCAATAATACAAACTTACTCTTTTCAACCTAATTTTAGTTTGTTTAAAATACTATTAGAAAAGGTTATGTGTTAGAAAAGGTTTTAATATTTTAATTTTTATATCGTGATAATTCAAGCTTTGTAATATTTAACGTAGTAAGGTTTATCGCCATGTATATTTTTAGACGCATTCTGAATTTTCTTTGAAAAAATATCCTTCAGTTTTATATGCTTTTTAACATAATAAAAATGCTTGAAACCTTTTAAAACATACATTTTTGTGATTTTCCTCTGATTAGAAACAGCATCTCTTCGATAAAATCAGCATCAGCATTTGCACACAGCAGCAAATAAAATCAACATCAGCAACAGCAGAAAGTAAAAGTGTGTGTGTGTGTGTGATTATGGTAAAGCGTTGAGAGCTATCTGCCTAAGGGAAGGAATGCCTTTGTGGAAGACTTTCTAAGGGAAAATGGCTCGTATACAAGGTACGCATGGGGAAAACCAGGAGAGTAAAAGAGTAAGGCGATTTTACTTTTCTGGAGCGCTTTATACTGAACGTTTTTAAAGACTTGGTTCCTTGGATGCTTTGAAATGAATAAGACTAAACGATTTCTCAACGTTAAAAATTTCGTTTAGCTTATATGTTTCGATTTATTCAGATACGTTTTTCAAAGACCTTTCAATAGCTTCATTTTGGATATTTCTTTGATAATTTCTGAACTCTCCGCTTATGGCGGAACATAAAAAACAGTGAAGCACTATATTCCATAACACAATATTGTTGAAATAAATTTTCATCGGGTTCGTTAGTTTGAGATCACATGGTTACTTGTTTGACTTCTTACGGCATTTGTGGAATGAAATGTGTAATTTAATTATTTTTCAGAAGCATTGAAATTTGCTTTGTTATAGATCGATGTTATGAGTTCTGATGCCGACCGCAGCCTGTATAGCGCATACAGTTTATTAGCTGGAATGTACCCACCGGATGAAGAGTGGAGCATTGGTGAGAATATCCCGTGGCAACCCATCCAAGTCTCGTATGTTCCAGAACCAGAAGACATGGTATTGTGCATATATTGTCCTTTTAACAGTTTATCTAAAATTTCAGTGATCCGACTTTCTAAATATTAGCTTTCTAAATATTTTTAAAATTCTTACTTTATGTCTGTATGAAAGTTCTAAATTTCTTACTTTACGCCTTTAATGATAATTTTTCTGCATCTTAATGCGCGAAAATAACTAGGCATGTTTGTTTTTTGTTTTCAAAAGAATTGTTTTGTGTATATATATACTCACACTGATACTCGGCTCCGTAAGCTCAGTTTATTTATTTTTGTATGTTGGTAAATTGTGCGTTTTTTACTTTAAAAATGATTGAATTACGTTTTTCTTATCTTCCGGTTAAGGTTTTTATGCCTTTAGTTAACTTGCATGTTATAGTTGTAGATAGCAACAATTAAAAAGTTATTTTAGTGCTGCTAAGCCTAATTTTTTTTTGCCATAGCAGCCGTATTTATTTACATTTCAAACTTAGCAGAACAGTGGATTTCTAGCCAATCTAGAGAAACTATGCTTCGCAACAACAAAGATAACGTTTTCTTTTATTATTGCGAATTAAATCATACTTAATCCATTCTGTATTATAAATGTAAGTTATTAAAATTATCCCATATATCGACTCAGCATAACGTCAACAACAAATTAAGTCAGTTTCTACGCCTTCGTTGACTTTTTGCCGAGGGAGACCGAAACGAAATTTTTAGTTTTCTGCACCGAAACATTCTGTCTTTTTGTCTGCTGGCCGAATTGTTTGTTTTTGCGCAGAAGCTCTAATTTGAATGGTAAAAATTGTTCTTCAATTGTTATATTTTTTCTATATCTTTCAATGTTTTAATAAAGGTATTTTGATTTTTATGTATTTTGGCCTTGCCGCGAAGTGAGAACTGAATTAATTAAATGAGAAATGTATCTCTAACAAAATTCGAGGAAATATGTATTTCGAATTAGCACATTCTTCAGTCTGACTCAGACAGATGAGAATGTTTACGATTAGCGCATGCGCATTAGGTAATCAGCGCTGAATCGTCTGTGAAAAACTGTTCCTTTTTATTTGTTTAATTTCTTTTATTCATAGTTTTAGATTTATTATATTTTTTGAATAGAACATGTTGTATCAACGATTAGATAATTCTTCAGATGATATAACTTTTGCGCATTCTGAGTTATAAAATTAATGAGATGTAACGCTGTTAAGTGAACTTAGCGCCAGAGTGTAGCTATGGTAAATAAATATAGTGAATTTTAAAGTGTGACTTTATTCTATTGTGGTTTATGCGCTATCGAAGAAATAGATTTCAATAAGTTTAAATGAAATGCAGGAAAAAAATGCGTATAATTTAATATTCCGTACAAGGAATTCATGAGGTGTACACATCAGATTGTTTACAAATGATAAACTGCAAATGATTGTTTATTTAAAGCTTGTTACTATTCCAACTCCCTGACTTAACATTGAATTGGCGGAAGGTCTGCTGGCACATCAGATTTTTAACTTTAATGAGTCTTACTTAAAAGACTTTTAATCCTGTGTATCTGATAGAGGCATTCGCGTTTACGAGAATCATGTTTTCAATTATCCGCCTTTTCAAGACTTATTATTCTACTTTCTTCAGTCCATGTCAGGTTTCATACCATTAAAGCTTAAATTTTTAATTTTACTCTACTTATGTAATGATGCAGTTCTCTGTTCAGTTCGTAAAAAATGCTTAGGCAATTTTATTTGAAATGTAAAAATTATTACTTACTTGTTTACTTACGGATGTTAATTTCGAAATAACATCCATCAAAATAAAAATATTATCTCCAGTATTCTGAGCGCATCTCGAATCACTAGTACACTGACTACCAATAAATATTTGGACACCTGTGATAGAAAAGAAAAACTAACTTTATTCAAAATCAATAGTTGGTAGAGCCTCCACGAGAGGTAATTACAGCGTGGACCCTCCGGGGTATACTTTCCACAAGTCTTTGTATGACAGCTAGTGGTATTTTCTTCCACTCGGCTTGGAGAAGACATAGTTCCTTCACCAATTTTGCACGGGTAGTGCACCCCTGAATTCGGCGATGCAACTCGTCCCAGAGGTTCTCGATAGGGTTCAGGTCTGGACTTTGGGCAGGCCAGTCCATTCGATGAACTCCATTGGCACCATACCAAGCCTTGGTTAACGTCGAAACATGACAACTGGCATTGTCGTCCTGAAAGTAAAAGGGATCGAACCCGTAAAACTGCCACAACGTAGGAAGCACATTGTCATCCAAAATAGTGCAGTAGGCATCGGAGTTGAGCTTACCATGAATGGGGACCAAGGGTCCCAGCCCATACCAGGCGAAACACTCCCAAACCATAATTCCACCTCCACCGAACTTGACTGTTGACACAATGCATTTTGGCAGGAGACGTTCTCCAGGTAGACGCCAGACCCAGACACTGCCATCCGAAAGGTAAAGGGTGAACCTTGATTCGTCACTCCAAAGAACCCGTTTCCACTGATCTACGGTCCAATTTCGATGTGCTTTGCACCACATTAACCGAGCAGCACGGTTGGACTTTGTGATCAAAGGCTTATGGGCAGCAGCACGACCATGAAAACCAAGCAGATGTGCTTCCTTACGGATGGTATTCATTGAAACAATACTCCCGGATGCCTGTTGAAACTCCTCGCGGATGAGGGCTATCGGTTGGTTGCGGTTCTTCCGAATTTCTCTGAACAGCACTAGTCGGTCTCTATCCCCCAGTTTCGTTGGTCTGCCGACTCGGGGCACATTCCAATAATCACCGCTCACCTTCCACTTCTTAATCACATAGGCCACTGTCGATGTTGGGTACTTCAGATCCCTAGATATGTCCCTTAAGGATCGGCCACATTTGTAATACCCAATAATTATACCTTTCTCAAAATCAGAGAGCTCCGAACTGCGAGGCATCTTGCATGCGACTAAAGCCGATGTTGTTTCCTACACGATATATACCGGCGGAGTCTGTGGCATACCTTGGGACCGCAGATATCGTCATTTGCATAGATGTCCAAATACTTATTGGTAGTCAGTGTAGAACGCTTATGCTATCTATTATAGACAAACACCATCGCGTATAAACAAAGTAACTCAAAATGTTTCGCCCAAACATCTGCTGCTCAAAATGTGGCATTCATTTGAATGATAGAAAGAGATTTTTATTTCCTTTGCACTGCAACACGAATTTTGCTGCTCAGGTGATGTTACGTCATCCATTTCTTACGTACATAGAATGTACAGTAATGTCCTCTAACAGCTAAAATCTTTGAAGTTTCATGCATGTGACAGTACTTTTACATGTGACATTTTTTATGTTATTTCGCCCTTCGTGCTCGTTTGCAAGTACCGCATAGAGTATTTTAGGTTTATTTTATTTTTTTTTAAATTTTTTTTTATTTGTTTGAATCGATATACATTTACAGGCTATTACGAAAGTTAGCTTGCATTTCAACTGTATTCGTTTCCGACAATGTTTTCCTCCGTAATTTCGTCGAATTTCGAAGACACCCGTAGTATCGCAATAGTGCGTACTACTTTTTACTTTCTTCTACGAAGTTTTTTTGAATGATAGCTTTACGTACGGGCAGTTCTTTATCACCAAACGGATAGTAAATTGGATTCAAAATGGATTTGTTCTTACACATGAATACGTATGAACGAATGAATACATACGAATGTAGGTATGTATAACGTATGTATCTCGCATAACTCAAAACCGATTAGCAGTAGAATGTTGAAAATCTGTATATGGGTGGCTATATCATCTAGTTCTGCACCTCTCTATTTTATTGCAGTCAGCATTATCAAAAGTATATAGATATAATGTAGAGTCTCGGATTCTTTGGTAACATCAAATGTACGAGATCTCCTAAGACAGAAACGAATTATTGTCATACCTTATACGTATCACAGAGACAGGGAAAGGGTGCAAAGGACCCTTTCAGTTGAGTAAGCTAAATTTCAACAGACGGCACCACTCGTTCTTACAAGAGCCAAGAATTATGACTTAAACATAATGGAGGAACTAAAACTAAGAAAAGTAAATTAGTTTAACGGCTGCACAAATACAATAACTCGCAAGCTGGCTGTAACTTAAGGTCAGCGTAACAAGCCTAAAGACGAGAATAACGCAATTCCGTAGAATACTAGCTAGCGAATCAAAGTAGCAATGTGGCCTTCAGGCAGGCAGAACACGCTCTGATTCTACCCTGCAAAACCTTTATTTAAATGCACTCTTCTTCCTACCTCATTTGAATGTAATGCACTAGAAATTTATATTCCGTAGAAAAATGGGAGATAGGAAAGATGGTTGACGTAAACTAACTTGTTAGAAACTAAACGTAAACTGTACGATATATACATATATAAAGAGAGATAGATACAGAAATATATCCTTACTTAAAAAATAACCAACAAACGCTAAAAGAAAACGTATGAATGTAAAAAACTGAATTAGAATATACGATTTACAAATGAGGTATAAGTTGCATAGCCGAATGTGAATAGGCAACCAAAATTAGCACAAAACGCAATCCCGCAATCACAATTCAATGTCTTAAAAAGGCCATGCCGGAACTATGCGTCAGTTTGCAAACAGCAACGGTTCCATGTAATCTAAGATAGACAAAGGGTGAAGTAAAGCCGAAGACACCATTTGCTCGAAGAAATGCATTGGAGGGCTTTTGGAATGTTGCACGCTCGTGCAAGAAAATCCCCTGTTGCGAGAGGGTTGAATGTGCATCGTAGTGTAATTAGTAGGCTGTTGAATTGTTGATAGAAAATGTGGGTCTGGACGCCAGAGGATTGCCACAATGGCAGACGATCTCTACCTATTGATGTGGGCAAAATCGCCTTAGACCTGCAGCTGCAGAATGGCCCATACCCCACCAGACTGTGTTGCATCAATTCCATGAAGAGGGGACTGTATGCCGACGATCTGTGGTTTGTGTTTCGTTGCGCTCATCGCATGTCAGAGCGTGGTTGAA